GTTTGGTCGGCTTTGTAAATCCAAGAGGGAGGTCCCATCCGGCGATCTCCGGGAACTACGCGGGAGACTACGCGGGTTTTGTCGGCTTTGTAAATCCAAGAGGGAGGTCCCATCCGGCGGTCTCCCGGAACTACGCGGGAGACGTCACCCTAAAAAAAATAAGTTCTGCTGCCACGATGGCACGAGGCTCCGGACACGCTGGATGTTCTGCAACACACCAAACCTGTCCCAGCGTCACGTAAAGGACAGAGACGTTTTTCGGAGCTGCGACGGGACTCCGTTATTGGGCAATGGGGAAGATAATAATGCAAACCAGACAATCCATGAGCGAGCCTCTCCAACCGCGAGTGTACCGCTCCCCTACTGTGGTGGTGTGGACACACTGGGTGCTGAAAAGCTCAGCAAACTGATCACAATACATGATGACATATTAACCACCACGTGGCAGAAGTCACGGAGCATTGCCGAAGCAACCAACTCAAAGGGCTGAAGTGTAAAGCACGCATACAACACCTTCCCTAGTGCCCCCCCTCTCCCCTCCCGCCCCACCCCTCCTTGCTACAAGATTGGGGCAAAAGGGTAAGGCTGGAGTTTGCATCGTTATTATGATCATGGCTGCCTGATGAAGGGGTCCCTTATGGCTCCGAAACATCGCTAACCTGTACGTGACAAAAGCCCACGCTGAGCAGTTTTGCTGCGCCGATGGCACCCATTTCTTGGATTGGTTGACAACGGCGCCATCCGTTGTTTTTCGTCATTGCCGCACCCGCCCAACTGCAGGTCAAAGCACCGTGTGGAGTGTGCCTAAAATCATGTCTCGTTGGAAGGTTTTCGTTCACTCCTCGGTGTCCGCCGGAAGGTAGGGCGACGTGACGGCGTGCTCCTGCGTTATGGCCGCCAGCTCCTTCATGAACTCGGTGAAAATAACCGCGCAGTACACTGCGTTCTTGACCCGCAGCGCCTCGTTCTGCTTTTCCGCCGACGTCTTGAATATGGATGTGCCGGACAGAGCGTGCAGGACCTGCCCGTCCCGGACGTGCTGGAACGCCATTTGCGCGGCTTGCCTCGCTCGAGTCGGGCTGTTGGTGTGACGCAAGATCAGCTCCCCGATGGACGGCTTGCGGCTTTTCACTGCGGGAGACAGAAGATATCTTGTGAGACTCTAGCCTATGGTGTGAACTATATTCACATATTCACCTATCCCACCTCAACCTAACCACTGAACTATCACGTTCTCAAACAATTCCTCCCCACACAGCTCCCTCCTCATGTATCACTTCCCCCTCCTCTTTCAGATTGTAAGCCCTCAGGGGCAGGGCCCTCCTTACCATCTTGTCTGGAATTGTATTGTAATGTCTTCCTTATATTGTAAAGCGCTGAGCAAACTGTTGGCGCTCTATAACTCCTGTATAATAATAATAATATTGCACCCTACTAGTCCTTTCTGCTACCTTTATTTTTACCTGGTGATCCCGCCACAGTGACACACTTCCTGTCAAAAGGGGAGACTGTACCATACTTCTATGTAACAGCTTTGTCACCCTAAGACAAGACTACAGAAAACCTCCCCCTCTTCTCCATAACATAGGGGCAGATTTTCTAGCGTCCTCCCGTCACCCAAAGCTCAGTATTCAAACTAGCGTCCTCCCGTGACCCAAAGCTCAGTATACCGCGAGCTGCAGCTCGCGGTATACTGAGACGCCGCAGCCGGGACGAATCCCGACATTACTGTCGAGATCCACCCAGTTGCGTGAGTGACAGCTGGCTCTGCCTATCTAGAGGCAGAGCCAGCTGTACCCGCCCCCTCCTCCGTCCGCCAGTCAGCGCTGGAGGATCAGAGCGGGAAGGGGGGGAATCTCTGCAGGGAGCCGTGACAGTCACGGCTCTCTGCAGCGAGTGACGGTATGTCTTCACACACTTCCCGATCTATTGAGCCGACGTGTGACGGTTTCATTGTCACACGTCGGCTCGAACTATGAGGATGAGTGAATATCACTCACCTCATAGTTCTCCTTTAATCTAACAGGAAGTTAGCTGTTCTCAAGATTTTTGACAAGTACAACAGGTATTTTTATTCACTTATTATATATAACAAAATACTTTTTATTGCTATATGTAACAGGCCAAAGAGAAACAATTAGCTGACGTTGACTATGAAGGTTTACATACTTGAAGGAAAAAAAGATTCAGACTTCAGCAAATAAGATTTTTGTACTCAATGCAAAATCCTTTCCTTGAAGGCAGTTGAGGAACACATGAAGTCATTTACTGTCGGGTTATACTGCCACCTGCAGGACGATTGGACACTGGCAAGCAAAAAAAAAAAGGCCAGTCCAGGTAACCTCTCCTCTACCCAGCATGGCTCAGTGTGCAGCAAGCAGTATGATCGTAAGCACAGAGGGGTGGGACCTGTGTACCTCAATAGACTCCAAGAACTGAGGGACACGGGAAGTCATTATCATATATTGTTGGAATGTCGAAAAACAGTTCAACAGAGGGGTAGGGCAAACAGTAACAACCTCTCACAGGTCCAACACAAACCAGGACTGGGCACTGCCAGCAGCCCAAGAGCTCCTTGAAGGACCAATATCAGAATCTGACTGCGGATAAGGCTGACCCCCCCACTGCCTGATAGGGGCACCTTCCAACGAGGGAGAAGACGTAGAATCAACTTGATGCCCAAGACCACGAAAAAAAATGGTCAATCAATGAGGAATGTTTTGGCACAAGGAAGCACCGAACCATGGACCAAGGCCTAGTAGCAGGGCCCCAAGCTTTTCCTAACCTGACCCCAAAGGGTTGAGAAATAAGGAACTCTGTGCCTAGAGAGATTGAACAGACAACCACCTCACCAAGTCAATACTTACCAGGGAACTGACTAGTATCAGCAATCAGTGAAGGGAGTGAGAATGGTTTGTGTCCATCTAAAAAACTCAGAATGTGATCCCATAAAGTCAGAATGACTAAACGGGTAAGCTGCATGGAATGCACCCCAACAAAGGTAGGCCGCCGATGGAATGTAGACACCTAACCATAAACTGGTGAGACGGATTACAACACTGATGGAGCTGAGGATTAAGCTAGACACATTCTCAGCTTTATGCAAGAGGCACCTCTGGGGTGAACCCTAAGAGGGATCCTGCCTAAAAAAACAATCCTGCCTAGCCTAATTCTCAAAGTCAAAGGATGACTCTCCAAATCCAATGAAGCAACAGCATCCATGAAACAAGGCACATGAGCCTTTTCAGGACAGTGAAGAATATTTGCCTGGCTGCAGCCAAAACAGGCCTAACCTTGGGTTGACAGGTCCCACAAAGTCACTGAGGCATTCCCTTGTTACGGTCAGAGGATATATGCAGCAGAAGACTAGAAGACAGCCCCAGGTGACACTAAGCCATCCCTCTGCCGTCCTTCATCTGCAACACAGGGTCTGAGACAAACATTGCTTCATGAACCTCTCCTCCATGTCTAGAAGCTTGAGAGATGAGCATTTCCCTGGCTAATGGTGAGGGGCATAAGGCAAACATGCTGAGGAGCCCTCTACCGAAAAACCATGTTGGTTAACGTCACCTACATGTGACACAACACTAGAGGTGAGCTGACACAGGAGATAGAAAAAAAAAAAACCTAGGATGAGGTGACCCCCAAGGGGTAGGGAAAGATCTGGTACTCTATGTGGTGGGTGAGCAGCTGAAGCTTGCCGGTGGCAAGGGACTAGCCTCTAAACCTAAAGGGGTGCTCTCTGCACCTGGATGCCTGAAGGGCCAATTACCCAAGGACCCACAAAGATTACCAACCACTACCCCACCTGGAAAAGTGACGGCACACTTTCATGCTAAAAACGTCTCGGAGGGCTAAGCAGGTTTCTGGGTCCGTGTCTTGTGGGCTGCCGGAGAACCAGGCTTAGAGGGTCTGGGGAGGCTTACTAAGTGAAGGTGAAGGATGCGGCTCTAACAACCCTTCTAAAATGTTCCTATGCGGAGGCAGTTGAATGCTCTGACCTCCACTGATATCCTTCATGGTAATATCAAGGGTAGGTCTGAAATGAGGGTGTCCTTCAAAGCCCAAGTGAGTCAGGTGCTCCTTGGATACATCTGCCTCCCAGCGCTTTAACCAGAGTGCTCTGTGCATCAGTATGGACAACAGACCTATACAGGACACAAGCTTAGATGCTTCCAGCAAGCCATCACAACTGAAGCTTAGTGCACCAGATGTTCTATCAGAAAAGTTTCCACCACGGCAGTGGATAGATCTCTTTTGAGAGGTTTAACCCATTGCGACACAGTTTGATAGGTTGAGGTCACAGAACAGGAAGAGTGGCAAAGCCTGCCAGCAAAAACTGGGTGTTAAGTCATTCTCTCCATAGGTCAGAAGTTGGGTAAGAACGCTTTCTACTGGTCTAGTAGTTTCCCTGTTAAGGTGGGTCACTGGCAGATCCACAGTGGGTATAGACCACTGTTGGAACAAGCTCCCTACTAAAGGGAAACAGAGCCAACAAATGCCCAGGTGATGTCTAGGACCCCTTAGGGTGCTTCCAAGGAATACCTCGAATAGTGTGTGTAGGGGGAAAGGTCTTTGCAACTCTAGGGCTCTGAAAGACCCAAACTTGGAGACAACAGGCCGATCCTCCATATACAACAAAAAGGGCCGAAACAGCATCTTGTACGTTTGAGTCAATGGCAGAAGACTGTGATTCCTCAAAAACTCTAAATCTCATTAGAAAGAGAATATGGGGGCTCTGAATCAAAGATGGTCACTGAGTGACTTTTCGAGGACTGTGGGAAGATCAGGAATTGACTCTGCAGGCAAAAGGAGCAGAAGCATACTTACAGTCTCTAAGGTCAGTACCCACAAGGAATTGGGTGAATCTGGCCACAAAGTCTTGCGTGACTGCAGAAGAAGCCCATGGCAATAAGGAAGGGGACTCTGCCTCACACCCTGGGGGACTACGATGAGACAGATGCTATATCCATATGGTAGGAGGATTCCAGACGTAGAGTAAATATTTGAGGAACATTTCGGAGAGGGTGAGCTGCGGTCCCCCATGGCAGTGGGATCGCCTCTCCTGTGTCTAGACAGTTATGCTGTGACTGTGTTGTGGTGATGCAACTCAGCTCAGGGCACAAGGCAAGGCCTCAAGTACTCGCAAACCGAGGCAGCTGGTAGCGGATGAGTCTTAAGACCGGAGGTGACTGAGGTCACTGTAGACACGCAGTGGAAACAGAGCAGAGATCGGAGTTCCATGTGGCCCCCAAGCTTTGACCTGACCCCAAAGGGTTGAGAAATGAGGAAACCTTGTCCCTAGAGATTGAACAGACAACCATCTCGCCAAGTCCAGACTTGCCAGGGTCACTGTAGACACGCAGTGGAAACAGAGCAGAGATCCGTGTTCCATGTGGCCCCCAAGCTTTGACCTGACCCCAAAGGGTTGAGAAATGAGGAAACCTTGTCCCTAGAGATTGAACAGACAACCATCTCGCCAAGTCCAGACTTGCCAGGGTCACTGTAGACACGCAGTGGAAACAGACCAAAGCAGGAGCAGCTCAAGACACTACTTCCTCAACACTGAATAGCGGGAAAGAGAGAACACCTGACCCAACGGATGACATTAGCACCCAACAGTAAATGGCTTCCTTCATCTGAAAGCATTTTTTTCCTCAAGTACCTAAAACTTACCGTACTGTATATAAACTTCAACTACGTATGCAGCTGTAACCCTCCCGTAACCCTCCTAAGAGTTTAGCTTTAAAGACCAGTAAGGGAATAGACTGGTCAGTAGGGGGGCGTCACTTACCCAGAGTGTCAGAGCGGCGAAGGGCAGGGACAGAGTTTGTCCCTTCACTCCAGTCCAGTTTTCCTCGGGCAATCAGAAACTTCTTTGCTTTAAAGAGTAGTGTGGGGAAATCCTCCTGAGAGGCTGCAAACGCTTCAATCTTATTCTTCACAGAGCCGAGTACCTGCCAGGGAAGGGGTACACGATGAGCAAAGCTGAACAGAATACGGCCGACATGCTGAAAACATTTTATAAGGTTGTGGCATATATAATGGGCAATCATTTTAGACGGTACACTTGGTATATCTTTATTATTATTATTAAAAATGTATTCAAGTTCCTGAACTATGAACAGCAATGTATCTTATTTGTGTATCACTCGGCTGTAGATCCTCCAATCATCTCTAAATTGGGGCTGACACTGTCCTTCCTTCTGGAGGGGGGCTACTTGTGTTCCCTATGGTCCCTGTGTGTGTTGTAAAGTAGTCACCGCTCCAAGCTCGCTCCCGGGATGGACTACAATCTCAATACAAATTAATAAACTAAACATGAGATTGTAGTCCATCCCGGGAGCGAGCTTGGAGCGGTGACTACTTTACAACACACACAGGGACCATAGGGAACACAAGTAGCCCCCCTCCAGAAGGAAGGACAGTGTCAGCCCCAATTTAGAGATGATTGGAGGATCTACAGCCGAGTGATACACAAATAAGAGACATTGCTGTTCATAGTTTAGCTTCTTGAATGTATTTTTAAGATACAACTCCTGAGTTTAGTGTCGGATAACACAGCCTTACAACTAGGGATGCACCGGTACCGGTTTCTCGGTATCGAGTACCGATATTTTTTTCCCCGGCACTCGCCAATACCGATACCAGAAGTCCCATTAAGGAAGCCAGGAAGCGTGTAAAGACTCGCCACCCGGCTTCCCAATTAGCAGAGAAGCCGTCTCCATGCTTCTCATCACTAGATGACGAGAAGCATGGAGCCGGCTTTCTGGCCAATCAGTAAGCCAGACGTCGTGAAATGACGCGGCGCCCGGCTTCTTGATTGGCCAGGAAGCCGACTCCATGCTCCCTCGTCATCCAGTGATGAGGGAGCATGACGCCGGCTTCCGGCCAATCAGAGAGCCGGGCGCAGCGTCATTACACAGCATCCGGCTTCCTGATTGTTCCTGAACTAGCCAGCTGCTGTAGGGATGCACCGATGCCGATACTAGTATCGGTGCCGATGCCGAGTATTTGATTGGGTACTCGTACTTGCCCAAATGCTCTGATGCCCAGCCCGATACCCGAGCTTCTGGTATCAGGAAGCCGGTCAGCGAGTCATTACATGCTGCCCGGGTTCCTGATTGGCCGGGAAACCGGCTTCCTGATACTGGAAGCTCGGGTATCAGGCTGGGCATCGGAGCATTTGGGCGAGTACTCACCCAAATACTCGGCATCGATACTAGTATCGGCATCGGTGCATCCCTACTTACAACCAATCAGTCCGTACAGATGCAACAACTATCACTTCTGGAAAGGCTGCAAATGGTACTGAGCAAACCAGGAGTGTACCTGCCACTGCATATGGGAACCGAGTTTACAGCCAGGACAAAAACAATCGTCACTTACACGTTTCAGGGCCTTGTCCCTTCATCAGCGTTCCCCCCTGTATACCCTCTTGTCTTGCTTTACTCTTACTCCCGGTTATATATGCATTTGCATGCATGGGGAACTTGCAAGAAAAAAAGCAGACTGCTGTACCTGGAGTGGTCAGATTTTGTGGTTCAGAGGCACATTGCACGTGTTTATCAATAAATTAAAAGTCAGACAGGGTCATAGCATGAACTCCTGGGGCCATGAGCTAGCACAGAGAAATAACATAGCCCTGTTTCCGGCCCAAAGCCTGTGTAGACTAGGCCTAGATCAGAGGAGAAGGATCCCACCTGCACCAGAGACTTGACGCTGGGCTGGAACACCATGTTGGTATTGAGCAGGAAGGAGCGGAGCAGAGGCTGCGGGTGACAGGCCAGCTGAGTGATGATCCCCGTCAGCAGGAAGTTCACGTACAGAGAGTTGGTGACCATGTTCTCCAGCTTGGCAAACAGGACGGCCATGAACGGCCCTGAGGAGAGAACACGTGATAGAGGTCACATCATGACAACGTGGGAAAGACGTTCTATGACACACGCTGAATGGAAGGATGAAGCAATACTATAATATGTAACATAAAGGAATCCTGACGTGTATTATATCACCCGGACAGATGTAATATCTCGCCACATTGCTTAATCATTCTCACAACACTCCCTTCAAGACCTGCGTGTATAATATCAATGTTCATTAGAACAATGTGCGTTCACTTTGTATATATACGAAATGTTACAACTCCCAAATAACCTTTTATGTCCAAGGTTGGAGGGAAATGGTCAGTGCATGGAGCGTTACTCTGCATTTCTCCAGGGCGCAAACATCCCCATAAACCGGCGCTTTCCACACTGCGGCCCTTTGATTGCCTTTAACTGGCCCTTGAGGTACTATTCCCTCCTACCGTCATCAACGATGGGGCACTATTCCTCCCAGTGACACCAATGATGGGGCACTATTCCTCCCACTGACACCAATGATGGGGCACTATTCCTCCCACTGACACCAATGATGGGGCACTATTCCTCCCACTGACACCAATGATGGGGCAGTATTCCTCCCACTGACACCAATGATGGGGCACTATTCCTCCCACTGACACCAATGATGGGACATTATTCCTCCCACTGACACCAATGATGGGACATTATTCCCCCCACTGACACCAATGATGGGGCACTATTCGTCTCACTGACACCAATGATGGGGCACTATTCCTCCCACTGACACCAATGATGGGGCATTATTCCCCCCACTGACACCAATGATGGGGCATTATTCCTCCCACTGACACCAATGATGGGACACTATTCCTCCCACTGACGCCAATGATGGGACACTATTCCTCCCACTGACACCAATGATGGGACAGTATTCCTCCCACGGACACCAATGACGGGGCACTATTCCTCCCACTAACACCAATGATGGGACAGTATTCCTCCCACTGACACCAATGATGGGACAGTATTTCTCCCACTGACACCAATGATGGGGCACTATTCCTCCCGCTGACACCAATGATGGTGCACTATTCTTCCCAATTACACCAATGATGGGACACTATTCTTCCCAATTACACCAATGATGGGACACTATTCTTCCCATTAACACCAAGGATGGGCAATATTTTTTCCAATTGCCACCAAGGATGGGCAATATTTCTTCCACTTGCCACCAATGATGGGACATTATTCCTCCCCCTGACACCAATGAGGTGCACTATTCTTCTTTCCTCCCACTGATACCAATGATGGGACACTATTCCTCCCACTGACACCAATGATGGGACAGTATTCCTCCCACTGACACCAATGATGGGACACTATTCCTCCCACTGACACCAAAGTTGAGTTCCTCTCTTTCTATCAAATGACATACTTATAGTCGGTGGGTCAGAGTGAAAGTCTGAGACTCAGCTCCCCTTTCAAGAACCCACAGCCCTGATGCAAGCAATGGGCTGACTCTTGGGAGAACTTATGCAAATACCAAAATGCCTTGATGGATGGATGGATGTCAGTCTGGAGACGAGGGGGTTCCTAGGCAGACTGCAATTGCATGAAGACCTCCCTAGGTCATGCCCACATCTTAGCGCCCATGGTTAAAAGAACTGAAATCTAATAAAAAGGGACGGGTCATGGACAGCCAGGCTGAAGAGGAAAAGGCTAGATGAGGCTGGACGTCCAGGGAATGAGGCGGGCTCTATCTGACTTGCTGCAACTTCTAATGCACATTGTGAGACATCAGAGTAAGCCATTTCAGGAAAGGACAGGAGAGGAGCCAGCACACAGTATAAGGGAAGGCCGGAGTTCAGCTTTAAATAAGAAGGGAAGTCTCACCGGTATAAGGCTGACTGCCATTCTGTGCTCTCAGTGGGCTGCTGAGGAGGAGGGTCAGCGAGTCTGATCTGCTCTTGGTGTTTTCAATTTCTCTACTGATGATATCTCCATCCTCGTCCTCCTCGGAAGGAATCCTCATGTGTCTCTCTGCTGGCTCCTCTTGTACAACCACTCCTCGCATGCTGTCCTCCATCTCCTTCAGCTCCTCTCCCAGCTTTTCAATGCTCAGATGAGTCCCGTTGGTCTCCGCTGGTGCACGGCCTAGAAGTTCGTCTATCAAGCTGTCTACAGACTCTGCCGTCTCCCACTTGGAGGACGCCCAGTGCTGCGGATCTCTGTGAGGGCCACCTTTCTCCTCTGGTCCATTCTCTGTCCCCTTTACCTGTTCCCCTCCCTCCGTTCTGGAGGGGCTGCTGTGCTCCACCGGTTCACGTTTCACTTTCTTCACTTCCACGTCTTCAGAGCGCCCAGGATGTGCGGCTGCCCTCTGTGTGCCACCCAAGTACCCCTGTTCCTCTCCCATGGAGCCATTCATAAGAACAGGCCCTGGATTACCATCATGAGATGTTTCTGTGAGTCCTCCATCTACCACCCCTCCCTGGCCTCCCACACCCTGTCCTTCATCCTCCTGTAAGCTTCTTTTCTTAGTCCTCGGGGTGACACTATGCCTCCGTCCCTCCCGCTCTTTGCTCTCTTGGGTTCTGGAGGAAGGGGCAGGTGGGGAGAAATAGTCAGGCGATACCGTGACTTCTTCTGGAGTAGAGGGGGAGAGGCTGCGAGGGCTGGGTTCCTCCCCGTCGTAGGGAGCTGACCAGACCCGGCAGGCCCAAGTACACCGGTCTATTCCAGCCCGGGCTTCTTGTAGATATTCTAAATAATTGGAATCCAACTCGGCCACTTCATCCCAAGACAAAGAACCATGCCGAGGACTTCCGAAGGTGGAGTCCTGCGAAGAGAAGCTGGAGGACCTCTGGGAGGGACTGTCAGGGGGCTGACGCATAAAGAACCCCATCCGTGAGGGGGTGGAGGGTCTTGGCACAGTGTTGACGGATGACATGTCAATGCTCGGGCTCCCATGAGCTGCAAAAAAAAAAAAACAGTGACATTTTTTTTCAAAAATTTGCTGTTTTTCTTAAATTGTCCCACTGTATAGATAATCCAAGGTCAGATAAACACAGCTTTCCGCGATAGCAACTGTCCCCACCCTCCTCCTCATATGACACAATGCTCTCCATCCTCCTCCTCATATCACACAATGCTCTCCACCCTCCTCCTCATATCACACAATGCTCTCCACCCTCCTCCTCATATCACACAATGCTCTCCACCCTCCTCCTCATATCACACAATGCTCTCCACCCTCCTCCTCATATCACACAATGCTCTCCACCCTCCTCCTCATATCACACAATGCTCTCCACCCTCCTCCTCATATCACACAATGCTCTCCACCCTCCTCCTCATATCACACAATGCTCTCCACCCTCCTCCTCATATCACACAATGCTCTCCACCCTCCAACTCATATCACACAATGCTCTCCACCCTCCTCCTCATATCACACAATGCTCTCCACCCTCCTCCTCATATCACACAATGCTCTCCACCCTCCTCCTCCTCCTATCACACAATGCTCTCCACCCTCCTCCTCCTCCTATCACACAATGCTCTCTACCCTCCAACTCATATCACACAATGCTCTCCACCCTCCTCCTCATATGACACAATGCTCTCCACCCTCCTCCTCATATCACACAATGCTCTCCACCCTCCTCCTCCTCCTATCACACAATGCTCTCCACCCTCCTCATCACATGACACAATGCTCTCCGCTAAAGCTGCGATCTCCACCCTCCTCATCATATGACACGATGCTCTCCACCCTCCTCATCACATGACACAATGCTCTCCGCTAAAGCTGCGATCTCCACCCTCCTCATCACATGACACAATGCTCTCCGCTAAAGCTGCGATCTCCACCCTCCTCATCACATGACACAATGCTCTCCGCTAAAGCTGCGATCTCCACCCTCCTCATCACATGACACTATGCTCTCCGCTAAAGCTGCGACCTCCACCTTCCTCATCATATTACACAATGCTCTCCACCCTCCTCATCACATGACACAATGCTCTCCGCTAAAGCTGCGATCTCCACCCTCCTCATCACATGACACAATGCTCTCCGCTAAAGCTGCGACCTCCACCTTCCTCATCATATTACACAATGCTCTCCACCCTCCTCATCACATGACACAATGCTCTCCGCTAAAGCTGCGACCTCCACCTTCCTCATCATATGACACGATGCACTCCGCTAAAGCTGCGATCTCCACCCTCCTCATCATATCACACAATGCTCTCCGCTAAAGCTGCGACCTCCACCTTCCTCATCATATGACACAATGCTCTCCACCTTCCTCATCATATGACACGATGCTCTCCGCTAAAGCTGCGGTCTTCACCCTCCTCATCATCATATCACACAATGCTCTCCACCCTCCTCATTACACGACACAATGCTCTCCGCTAAAGCTGCGGTCTCCACCTTCCTCATCATATGACACTATGCTCTCCCCTAAAGCTGCGATCTCCACCTTCCTCATCATATGACACTATGCTCTCCCCTAAAGCTGCGATCTCCACCTTCCTCATCATATGACACTATGCTCTCCCCTAAAGCTGCGATCTCCACCTTCCTCATCATATGACACAATGCTCTCCCCTAAAGCTGCGGTCTTCACCTTCCTCATCATATGACACTATGCTCTCCGCTAAAGCTGCGATCTCCACCCTCCTCATTACACGACACTATGCTCTCCGCTAAAGCTGCGATCTCCACCTTCCTCATCATATGACACTATGCTCTCCCCTAAAGCTGCGATCTCCACCTTCCTCATCATATGACACGATGCTCTCCGCCAAAGCTGCCATATCCACCCTCATCACATGACACAATGCTCTCCGCTAATGTTGCCGTCTCCACCCTCCTCATCACATGACACAATGCTCTCCGCTAATGTTGCCGTCTCCACCCTCCTCATCACATGACACAATGCTCTCCGCTAATGTTGCCGTCTCCACCCTCCTCATCACATGACGCACAGCTCTGTGTTATAGCCACTGTTTTCACCCTCCTCATGACATGACAATGATTAGTAAAATATATCTCTCTGTCTCTCACCTTTGGACCAGGTGGCATGCTCCTCCTCTCTCTCCGTGCAGACCAGGCGTTCTTTGCGGCAACATTGCGGGATGAGTGAGAGGAATTTGTCGGCTGTCCTGGAATAGAGATCTAAGTCCTTCACGGCTCTTCTTTGACTCAGCATGACGTGATTACATGGGATCAGATACCTGTGCAGGAAAAGGACACTTCTCACTTATATATATAATTAGATACCAACGAATGGGTACCCAGAAACATGCAACTGATATATTGTTATAGAAAGTGCAGAATCTCTGCAAATCACTCCAATTTCCCAGACTGTATGACAATGATATCAGGTGACAGACAAGGCGGCAGAGGAATGAGGTGCCGTTACAGCTGGCTACCACTAGAGGGATTATCTGATACCGATTTCTTATCATAGAGAAGGCTGATTGGTTTATCTGAATTATCAAATACTTTGGGGGTGCTTTGAGGCCATACAAAACACAGGCAAAGCGGATAACACCAAAATGCACAGAATCGTGACCCACAGCCCCACCATTGTACTAACTATTGTACCCTCAGAGCCCCTCCATTGTTAACAGTATCAATCCTCCAATGCCATCTTTGCCTCGGAGATCCTACATTGTACAGAGTGTCTGCCTCGGAGATCCTACATTGTACAGAGTGTCTGCCTCGGAGATCCTACATCGCACAGAGTGTCTGCCTCGGAGATCCTACATCGCACAGAGTGTCTGCCTCGGAGATAATACATCGTACAGAGTGTCTTTGCCTCGGAGATAATACATCGTACAGAGTGTCTGCCTCAGAGATCCTACATCGTACTCTCTCCCCTAAAGCTGCGATCTCCACCTTCCTCATCATATGACACTATGCTCTCCCCTAAAGCTGCGATCTCCACCTTCCTCATCATATGACACAATGCTCTCCCCTAAAGCTGCGGTCTTCACCTTCCTCATCATATGACACTATGCTCTCCGCTAAAGCTGCGATCTCCACCTTCCTCATCATATGACACTATGCTCTCCGCTAAAGCTGCGATCTCCACCCTCCTCATTACACGACACTATGCTCTCCGCTAAAGCTGCGATCTCCACCTTCCTCATCATATGACACTATGCTCTCCCCTAAAGCTGCGATCTCCACCTTCCTCATCATATGACACGATGCTCTCCGCCAAAGCTGCCATATCCACCCTCATCACATGACACAATGCTCTCCGCTAATGTTGCCGTCTCCACCCTCCTCATCACATGACACAATGCTCTCCGCTAATGTTGCCGTCTCCACCCTCCTCATCACATGACGCACAGCTCTGTGTTATAGCCACTGTTTTCACCCTCCTCATGACATGACAATGATTAGTAAAATATATCTCTCTGTCTCTCACCTTTGGACCAGGTGGCATGCTCCTCCTCTCTCTCCGTGCAGACCAGGCGTTCTTTGCGGCAACATTGCGGGATGAGTGAGAGGAATTTGTCGGCTGTCCTGGAATAGAGATCTAAGTCCTTCACGGCTCTTCTTTGACTCAGCATGACGTGATTACATGGGATCAGATACCTGTGCAGGAAAAGGACACTTCTCACTTATATATATAATTAGATACCAACGAATGGGTACCCAGAAACATGCAACTGATATATTGTTATAGAAAGTGCAGAATCTCTGCAAATCACTCCAATTTCCCAGACTGTATGACAATGATATCAGGTGACAGACAAGGCGGCAGAGGAATGAGGTGCCGTTACAGCTGGCTACCACTAGAGGGATTATCTGATACCGATTTCTTATCATAGAGAAGGCTGATTGGTTTATCTGAATTATCAAATACTTTGGGGGTGCTTTGAGGCCATACAAAACACAGGCAAAGCGGATAACACCAAAATGCACAGAATCGTGACCCACAGCCCCACCATTGTACTAACTATTGTACCCTCAGAGCCCCTCCATTGTTAACAGTATCAATCCTCCAATGCCATCTTTGCCTCGGAGATCCTACATTGTACAGAGTGTCTGCCTCGGAGATCCTACATTGTACAGAGTGTCTGCCTCGGAGATCCTACATCGCACAGAGTGTCTGCCTCGGAGATCCTACATCGCACAGAGTGTCTGCCTCGGAGATAATACATCGTACAGAGTGTCTTTGCCTCGGAGATAATACATCGTACAGAGTGTCTGCCTCAGAGATCCTACATCGTACAGAGTGTCTGCCTCAGAGATCCTACATCGTACAGAGTGTCTTTGCCTCGGAGACCCTACATCGTACAGAGTGTCTTTGCCTCGGAGACCCTACACTGTACAGTGTCTTTGCCTCGGAGGTCCTACATTGTACAGAGTCTTTGCCTCGGAGACCCTACATTGTACAGAGTCTTTGCCTCGGAGACCCTACATTGTACAGAGTGTCTTTGCCTTGGAGACCCTACATTGCACAGTGTCTTTGCCTCGGAGACCCTACATTGTACAGAGTGTCTTTGCCTCGGAGATCCTACATTGTACAATGTCTTTGCCTCGGAGATCCTACATTGTACAGAGTGTCTTTTACTTGGAGATCCTACATCGTACAGAGTGTCTTTTCCTTGGAGATCCTACATTGTACAGAGTGTCTTTGCCTCGGAGATCCTACATTGTACAGAGTGTCTTTGCCTTGGAGACCCTACATTGCACAGTGTCTTTGCCTCGGAGATCCTACATTGTACAGTGTCTTTGCCTCGGAGATCCTACATTGTACAGTGTCTTTGCCTCGGAGACCCTACATTGTACAGTGTCTTTTCCTCAGAGATCCTACATTGTACAGTGTCGTTGCCTCGGAGACCCTACATTGTACAGTGTCTTTTCCTCAGAGATCCTACATTGTATAGTGTCGTTGCCTTTGAGACCCTACTTTGTACAGTGTCTTTGCCTCGGAGCCCTTCCACTATTCACAGAACAATACTCCACCAAACTTCTCCACTTCATATGGACAATTGCCTAGAACTCTCCACTGTACACAGTATTGCTTCTGCATATCCCCTTCACTGTACACAATATAATCCACTCTGTGAGCCTGAAGACCCCCCATTGCAGAACTGGTTTCTCTGTAGCCCCTCAGTGGAGTTCACTCACCTGAGCATTAGCTGCAACAAGACATCCTCACAGTTCAGGTTGAGCAACGTCTGGAACAGAGTCAGTGACACCATACACAGCTGCAAGGATAGACAAGAGAGGAAATATTAGAGGGGAAACCGGGAGTGCGGAACCAAAAACACAATAAGGAAAATAATAGTCATCCTATCGGGTATTTCCATAATAATTCAGCACAGAGATGGTGGGAGCCCCTCATAATGGGCACAGCAGGTGTACAGACCCGGGAACTCAGCACAGGGATGGTGGGAGCTCCTCATAATGGGCACAGCTGGTGTACAGACCCCGGAACTCAGCACAGGGATGGTGGGAGCACCTCATAATGGGCACAGCGGGTGTACAGACCCGGGAACTCAGCACAGGGATGGTGGGAGCTCCTCATAATGGGCACAGCGGGTGTACAGACCCGGGAACTCAGCACAGGGATGGTGGGAGCCCCTCATAATGGGCACAGCGGGTGTACAGACCCGAGAAATCAGCACAGGGATGGTGGGAGCGCCTCATAATGGGCACAGCGGGTGTACAGACCCGGGAACTCAGCACAGGGATGGTGGGAGCTCCTCATAATGGGCACAGCGAGTGTACAGACCCGGGAACTCAGCACAGGGATGGTAGGAGCCCCTCATAATGAGCACAGCGGGTGTACAGACCCGGGAACTCAGCACAGGGATGGTGGGAGCTCCTCATAATGGGCACAGCTGGTGTACAGACCCCGGAACTCAGCACAGGGATGGTAGGAGCCCCTCATGAGCACAGCAGGTGCACAGACCCGGGGACTCAGCACAGGGATGGTGGGACCCCTCATAATGGGCGCAGGAGGTATACAGACCCGGGAACTAAGCACAGGGATGGTGGGAGCCCCTCATAATGAGCACAGCAGGTGTACAGGCCCGGCAACCCAGGACAGAGATGGTGGGAACCCCTCATAATGAGCACATCAGGGGTACGGACCTGGGAACTCAGCACAGGGATGGGGGAAGGCTCTCATAATGAGCACAGCAGGTGTACAGACCCGGCAACCCAGGACAGGGATGGTGGGAACCCCTCATAATGAGCACATCAGGGGTACGGACCTGGGAACTCAGCACAGGGATGGGGGAAGGCTCTCATAATGAGCACAGCAGGTGTACCCACCTAAAAATCTCACCAACAGAGTTCCCAAAACAGAAGTAAATGTCAGAGTGCTTACCTCTCCAGCAGCCATCCAACAGGTAAATATACATTTTGGCTGGAGTGGCTCTTTAATGAACCCCCAGAGTTCACATACGATGCAGATTCAGTCCTTACCCGGGAATTGCTGACAATGCGGCTTATGAGCGTGTTCAGGATGGTGGTGTTGTCGTGGCGATGGAGGAGGATAAATCGCAGGAAGGTTTTCAGCAGTGCCGTCTCGCTGATACTGCGCACAAAGAGCTCCAGGTAGGCAGTACTGGCGATCATCTCTTCGATGGAGGTCTGGAATGGAGGAGAAGAGGAAGTGAATGCAGGTACAGAGAGGGCAGAGGCGCGGATATCACACAGGTGAGATGACACGGGACGGTTACTAAACCCATTACACACATTTGTAGTCTCTAAGCCACATTAACTGTAGTGATTAGCTGCTGGTCACCTGATCTGCACCCAAGGCATCATGGGACATGTAGTCATGACGTCAGAGGTGTGAGTGATCCCTCTATAGGCACTACGCACCTTAGTGAGGGATCACTGATCATGTGACTGTCCAGGGGATGCCCGAGAGCAAGTCATTGCAATGGACACCACGGCACAATATTGCACGTCATGTAACACCGAGGCCGGCGCTCTGTCACATTGCTGCCAGTCCTCAGCTGGCAAAGTTCAAAGGATTATGCCTGTGGTCTCCCTGCAGCTGATCTTTTCCCATCACTGACTTACCATGCCTCGTTCTTCCCTATGTGGAGGCGGCCATCTTGTTAGAGGCAGAGCTTTGCTTTCTCATGTCAGAATCTCCAGCAAGGAGAACAGTGAGCAGCACAAATTTTACTCCAAATCTCCCGAGTCCAGCAGCCAGAGGCAGCAGTGCCTGGGATCTCACATTGTGGATATACAACTATGAGGCTGAAGGGAGAGGCCGGCAGGGGGATGAACATCACAGCACCCTGCATCAGTACTCCTCTCAGGAGCTCTCAGACCTGATGCAAGCAGTGGGCTGGATCTTGGGAAAAGTTATGCAAATATCAATAAACCTTGATGGGTGGGTGTCAGTATGGGTGAGTGGGAGTTCCTAGGGAGGATGCAGACCACCACATGAGGTAATGCCCTCATGTTCCTGAGCCTCCATGATTGAAAGAACCAAATGAAAGGGGCGGGTCTGGAACAGTCACGTTGGGGAGGAAAGGAATAGAAGATGCTGGATGGGTGGTGGGCTCTATCTGACTTGCTGCAGCTTCTAATGCACATTGTGAGAAGCTCCCAGAAGGATAGAGGTCAGATAGAAGACTGAAGGGAAGGACTGAGGTCAGATAGAAGACTGAAGGGAAGGACGGAGGTCAGATAGAAGACTGAAGGGGAGGACGGAGGTCAGATAGAAGACTGAAGGGGAGGACGGAGGTCAGATAGAAGACTGAAGGGGAGGACGGAGGTCAGATAGAAGACTGAAGGGGAGGACGGAGCTCAGATAGGAGACTGAAGGGAAGGACGGAGGTCAGATATCAGACTGAAGGGAAGGACGGAGGTCAGATAGAAGACTGAAGGGAAGGACGGAGGTGAGCTGTAGTACGTCAGCAGTTTCTGACTTCTCCATGTAACATGGCAGCAATTTCGAGTAACATGAAATGTCCGGTAACAGATTGGGGTTTTGGGATGCAAATACAAATCCTGCAGGTCAGGTGGAGTATAGCAATGTGGGTTGTGTACAGGATTAGAGAAGCATGCTGCCCTTGTGTCATCCCCTTCAATAATTGCCGGGCCTACATACTTTCTGTTCACAATATGTACCTGGCGCTCTCTTACCTTGTGCAATGCCGGACCCATGACTGGTACCAGGAACCCATTATGTATGTATTCCACCAACTGGTTCTGGACGAAAGGATGAGCAACCTGTGCAGACAGAGAGACAGTCCATCAGAAGGGCCTCCAGCCGAGACAACACCCCCTTCTGAACTCCAGCCCAGGCTCTACCTGCCGCTAACATCCAGCCCAAGCTCCACCCACTGCTGACCTCCAGCCCAAGCTCCACCTACTGCTGACCTCCAGCCCAAGCTCCACCCACTGCTGACCTCCAGCCCAGGTGTCGTTGCGCCCCCCACCACCACTGCTGATCTCCAGCCCAAGCTCCACCCACTGCTGATCTCCAGCCCAAGCTCCACCCACTGCTGACCTCCAGCCCAGGCTCCGCCCACCGCTGACCTTAAAGGAGAACTATGAGGTGAGTGCTTTTCACTCACCTCATAGTTCTCCTTTACGTCTAAGCACCACCTGCTGCTAACATCAAGTCCAGGCTCCACCCACTGCTGATCTCCAGCCCAAGCTCCACCCACTGCTGATCTCCAGCCCAAGCTCCACCCACTGCTGATCTCCAGCCCAAGCTCCACCCACTGCTGATCTCCAGCCCAAGCTCCACCCACTGCTGATCTCCAGCCCAAGCTCCACCCACTGCTGATCTCCAGCCCAAGCTCCACCCACTGCTGATCTCCAGCCCAAGCTCCACCCACTGCTGATCTCCAGCCCAAGCTCCACCCACTGCTGATCTCCAGCCCAAGCTCCACCCACTGCTGATCTCCAGCCCAAGCTCCACCCACTGCTGATCTCCAGCCCAAGCTCCACCCACTGCTGATCTCCAGCCCAAGCTCCACCCACTGCTGATCTCCAGCCCAAGCTCCACCCACTGCTGATCTCCAGCCCAAGCTCCACCCACTGCTGATCTCCAGCCCAAGCTCCACCCACTGCTGATCTCCAGCCCAAGCTCCACCCACTGCTGATCTCCAGCCCAAGCTCCACCCACTGCTGATCTCCAGCCCAAGCTCCACCCACTGCTGATCTCCAGCCCAAGCTCCACCCACTGCTGATCTCCAGCCCAAGCTCCACCCACTGCTGATCTCCAGCCCAAGCTCCACCCACTGCTGAACGCCAGCGCAAGCTCTGCCCCACTGCTGACCGCCAGCCCAGGCTCCCCCCCACTGCTGACCTCCAGCACAGGCTCCCCCCCACTGCTGACCTCCAGCCCAGGCCCCACTGACTGCAGGTACTCACCTGAGTGACAGCATTACAGAACTCCAGAGAATTCATGAAAAGGACCAAAGAAGACACTCCGATCCAGTCTTCTCTGCGCAGGAAGTGCCAATCATCGCCACGCACCTCAATCTTACGAGGAAGAGATGAGTAGAGAGCGCTCAGCCCCGTCGCCAGGATCTACAAACAAGAAAAAAAACATCAGTGATCTGTGCAACATGTAACCGGATAAACAACATGTGCCAGACCCGGGAGAGAACACCAGGGGGCAGCAATAGTCAGCATCATGTGTGTCAGACCCGGAGAGAACACCAGGGGGCAGCAATAGTCAGCATCATGTATGTCAGGCCAGGGAGAGAACACCAGGGGGCAGCAATAGTCAGCATCATGTATGTCAGGCCCGGGAGAGAACACCAGGGGGCAGCAATAGTCAGCATCATGTATGTCAGACACGGGAGAGTACACCAGGGTGCAGCAATAGTCAGCATCATGTGTGTCAGATCCGGGAGAGTACACCAGGGGGCAGCAATAGTCAGCATCATGTATGTCAGGCCAGGGAGAGAACCCCAGGGGGCAGCAATAGTCAGCATCATGTATGTCAGATCCGGGAGAGTACACCAGGGGCCAGCAATAGTCAGCATCACGTGTGTCAGGCCCGGGAGAGAACACCAGGGGGCAGCAATAGTCAGCATCATGTGTGTCAGATCCGGGAGAGAACACCAGGGGGCAGCAATAGTCAGCATCATGTTTGTCAGATCCAGAAGAGAACACCAGGGGCCAGCAATAGTCAGCATTATGTATGTCAGACACGGGAGAGAACACCAGAGGGCAGCAATAGTCAGCATCATGTATGTCAGACCCGGGAGAGTACACCAGGGGACAGCAATAGTCAGCATTATGTATGTCAGACCCGGGAGAGAACACCAGAGGGCAGCAATAGTCAGCATCATGTATGTCAGACCCGGGAGAGTACACCAGGGGACAGCAATAGTCAGCATTATGTATGTCAGACCCGGGAGAGAACACCAGAGGGCAGCAATAGTCAGCATCATGTATGTCAGACCCGGGAGAGTACACCAGGGGACAGCAATAGTCAGCATTATGTATGTCAGACCCGGGAGAGAACACCAGAGGGCAGCAATAGTCAGCATCATGTATGTCAGACCCGGGAGAGTACACCAGGGGACAGCAATAGTCAGCATTATGTATGTCAGACCCGGGAGAGAACACCAGAGGGCAGCAATAGTCAGCATCATGTATGTCAGACCCGGGAGAGTACACCAGGGGACAGCAATAGTCAGCATTATGTATGTCAGACCCGGGAGAGAACACCAGAGGGCAGCAATAGTCAGCATCATGTATGTCAGACCCGGGAGAGTACACCAGGGGACAGCAATAGTCAGCATTATGTATGTCAGACCCGGGAGAGAACACCAGAGGGCAGCAATAGTCAGCATCATGTATGTCAGACCCGGGAGAGTACACCAGGGGACAGCAATAGTCAGCATTATGTATGTCAGACCCGGGAGAGAACACCAGAGGGCAGCAATAGTCAGCATCATGTATGTCAGACCCGGGAGAGTACACCAGGGGACAGCAATAGTCAGCATTATGTATGTCAGACCCGGGAGAGAACACCAGAGGGCAGCAATAGTCAGCATCATGTATGTCAGACCCGGGAGAGTACACCAGGGGACAGCAATAGTCAGCATTATGTATGTCAGACCCGGGAGAGAACACCAGAGGGCAGCAATAGTCAGCATCATGTATGTCAGACCCGGGAGAGTACACCAGGGGACAGCAATAGTCAGCATTATGTATGTCAGACCCGGGAGAGAACACCAGAGGGCAGCAATAGTCAGCATCATGTATGTCAGACCCGGGAGAGTACACCAGGGGACAGCAATAGTCAGCATTATGTATGTCAGACCCGGGAGAGAACACCAGAGGGCAGCAATAGTCAGCATCATGTATGTCAGACCCGGGAGAGTACACCAGGGGACAGCAATAGTCAGCATTATGTATGTCAGACCCGGGAGAGAACACCAGAGGGCAGCAATAGTCAGCATCATGTATGTCAGACCCGGGAGAGTACACCAGGGGACAGCAATAGTCAGCATTATGTATGTCAGACCCGGGAGAGAACACCAGAGGGCAGCAATAGTCAGCATCATGTATGTCAGACCCGGGAGAGTACACCAGGGGACAGCAATAGTCAGCATCATGTGTGTCAGATCCGGAAGAGAACACCAGGGGGCAGCAATAGTCAGCATTATGAATGTCAGGCCCGGGAGAACACACCAGGGGGCAGCAATAGTCAGCATTATGTGTGTCAGGCCCGGGAGAGAACACCAGGGGGCAGCATAAGTCAGCATCATGTGTGTCAGATCCGGGAGAGAACACCAGGGGGCAGCAATAGTCAGCATCATGTGTGTCAGGCCCGGGAGAGAACACCAGGGGGCAGCAATAGTCAGCATCATGTATGTCAGGCCCGGGAGAGAACACCAGGGGGCAGCAATAGTCAGCATCATGTGTGTCAGACCCGGGAGAGAACACCAGGGGGCAGCAATAGTCAGCATCATGTGTGTCAGACCCGGGAGAGAACACCAGGGGGCAGCAATAGTCAGCATCATGTGTGTCAGACCCGGGAGAGAACACCAGGGGGCAGCAATAGTCAGCATCATGTGTGTCAGACCCGGGAGAGAACACCAGGGGGCAGCAATAGTCAGCATCATGTATGTCAGACCCGGGAGAGAACACCAGGGGGCAGCAATAGTCAGCATCATGTGTGTCAGACCCGGGAGAGAACACCAGGGGGCAGCAATAGTCAGCATCATGTATGTCAGACCCGGGAGAGAACACCAGGGGGCAGCAATAGTCAGCATCATGTGTGTCAGATCCGGAAGAGAACACCAGGGGGCAGCAATAGTCAGCATCATGTATGTCAGACCCGGGAGAGAACACCAGGGGGCAGCAATAGTCAGCATCATGTATGTCAGACCCGGGAGAGAACACCAGGGGGCAGCAATAGTCAGCATCATGTATGTCAGACCCGGGAGAGAACACCAGGGGCCAGCAATAGTCAGCATCATGTATGTCAGACCCGGGAGAGAACACCAGGGGGCAGCAATAGTCAGCATCATGTATGTCAGACCCGGGAGAGAACACCAGGGGGCAGCAATAGTCAGCATCATGTGTGAGATTCGGGATGGGAACAGCGGAGGCTTTCTGGCTCTTTTTGGCTTCCTCATAATACACTGACAGGTTATTCCGTCACTTCACTCCCCAAACCCTTCTACAGGAAAAAACTTTGATGACTAAAAAGGAAGCAAATTGTTGCATTCCTCCAGAATTATGATGTGACCCCTGAGAGGGCAGAGCAGTGTACAGGATGGTGGCGGTGCAGTGTTGAGCAGTGTACAGGATGGATACCAGTGGTCAGTAGTGATGAAGCAGGGACTGTACAGAGACGGGGCACAGACTGGGCATGCAGACAGAGAAGCATATTGGGTAACAGTAGAGGATGGTGGCAGTGCAGGGATGGGCACTTTACAGACAGGATGGAATGCCAGGGGTCAGTACTGGTGAAGCAGGGACTGTGCAGACAGGAGGGAATGCCAGGGGTCAGTACTGGTCAGGTAGGGACTGTACAGACAGGATGCAATGCTGGGGGTCAGTACTGGTCAGGCAGGGACTGTGCAGACAGAGGGCACAGAATGGGCGAGCAGTAGGACAGCTGTAGTCTCTAGCAGTGCAGGATGGTGGCAGGGCAGGTGCGGGCAGAGCTCAGGATGGAACGCCAGGGGTCAGTACTGGTCAGGTAGGGACTGTGCAGACAGGATGCAATGCCGGGGGTCAGTACTGGTCAGGTAGGGACTGTGAAGACAGGATGCAATGCCGGGGGTCAGTACTGGTCAGGTAGGGACTGTACAGACAGGAAGGAATGCCAGGAGTCAGTACTAGTGAAGCAGGGACTGTGCAGACAGAGGGCACAGACTGGGCGAGCAGTAGGACAGCTGTAGTCTCTAGCAGTGCAGGATGGTGGCAGTGCAGGTGCGGGCAGAGCCCAGGAAGGAATGCCAGGGGTCAGTACTGGTCAGGCAGGGACTGTGCAGACAGGAAGGAATGCCAGGGGTCAGCACTGGTCAGGCAGGGACTGCACAGACTGGGCGAGCAGTAGGAAAGCTGTAGTCTCTAGCAGTACAGGATGGTGGCAGTGCAGGTGCGGGCAGAGCTCAGGAAGGAATGCCAGGGGTCAGTACTGGTCAGGCAGGGATTGTGGTGAAGGACGGGTAACCAGCAGGCAGCACTATAAGCAGAGGAAGGAGCTGGGAAGATCTGGGCCCGGGGCCAGCAGACGGCGGCCCAGGCAGGGAGGAGTCGCATTCCACACTGGCAGCTCAGGGAGTGTTCGGGAACTGCAGACAGGACGATGCCAGGACACAGGAGCGGGGCAATCACAGAGCTGTGTACACACACGGAGCAGGATATGGAGGGTGACTAGGGGCAGATGTCAGTCATGTCACTGCAGGCAGGGCTCATCAGATCTGTGTGGCCGGTTATTTACCTATCTGCTGTGCACAGGGGGGACTATTCAACCATTTTCTGCCTTGAGGACGGGAAGATCTAGGTCTCCGCTCTTCCTGCTCCACCTACATTGCACTCAAAATGATCCCTTTAGGCGGAGGGCTGCCCTAGCTTGAGGGTAAAATGACACTGGAGGATTCGGGATGACAGTGGGCCTATGTATGTTTCCTCCCCCTATTGCCAGTGCGGGACAACTAGACATGCCACATCGCCCGTCAATGGGTCTGACGCTGTGCAGGAAGAGTAGGGATCGTCAGCTTAATGGGTGCCAATGTGTACCGAGTATAAAAGTATTTTTGGATCGGTTGATGAATGCATGGTTTGTGATTCACGGGCCAACGGTCCCGAGAGTGGGTTGAGGAATGCGGTTGTCATTCCAGGATGTGTGCCGTGTTCCCATAAATACATATTATCACCGGGGTTAAAGTGGGACTCCGACTACGAGATATGTTTACCTGTCAGAAGAGGATCAGTAAGGATCTGTACAGCCGGTCTTGTGATTTGCAAACATCTGCCACACTGCGCAGCCGGGCAGGTGACCCCCACCTAGCTCCTGGTTCAGCAATGCAGCTTCCTGTGTCACCTCTCCGCCT